CCTGGACAAGAGAAAAAGGTGTGCAAATTGATCAAATCCTTGTACGGACTTAAACAAGCTCCGAAACAATGGCATTTGAAATTTGATGACGTGATGTTGTCAAATGGATTAAAAATCAACGAATGTGACAAATTTGTTTATGTTAAAAACACATCAAATACATATATAATAAGATGTCTATATGTAGACGATATGTTGATCATGGGGAGTAGCCATGACGTGATCATGGATACGAAACGAATGTTGAAAAGAAATTTCGACATGAAAGATATGGGCTTAGCTGATGTAATTCTTGGAATAAGAATTATCAGAACCCAAGATGGAATTGTCTTGTCACAATCTCATTACGTAGAGAAAGTGCTCAAGAAATTTAATGCCTATGAAGGTCCTTTGTCTAGGACACCCCTTGATCTTAGCATAAATCTGGAAGCCAATAAAGGTCAACCAGTTGCTCAATTGGAATATTCATGGATTATAGGGAGTCTAATGTACTTGACGAACTGTACACGACCAGACTTGGCCTATCCGGTGAATAAGTTGAGTAGATTTACGAGCAATCCCAGTCATGAGCACTGGAATGCTTTGAAAAGGGTACTGAAGTACTTAAAGTACACCCTTGGATACAGGCTAAAATACTCGAGATATCCAGCAGTACTTGAAGGATATTGTGATGCAAGCTGGATATCGGATTCGAGAGATTCTCACTCCACATGTGGATATGTCTTCTGTATCGGAGGAGGAGCTGTTTCGTCGAAGTCCACAAAACAAACATGTATAGCTCGGTCAACCATGGAGTCGGAGTTCATCGCTTTAGATAAAGCTGGTGAAGAAGCCGAGTGGCTTCGAAACTTCTTATCTGATATTCCATGTTGGAATAAACCTTTGTCGCCTGTGATGATTCACTGTGATAGCCAAACCGCTATAGGAAGGGCGCAAAGTAACATGTACAACGGTAAGTCTAGACATATTCGTCGTAGACATAATACCGTTCGCCAGTTGATCACAAATGGTATTATTTCCATTGACTACTTAAAATCTAAGGAAAATTTGGCTGATCCTTTTACTAAAGGATTGAATAGAGATCAATTGGGAATACTGCTAGAGGGAATGAGATTAAAAATCCACAATGAAAAGAATGATCATAGTGGTAACCCTACCTTGCTGAATGGAGATCCCATAAACATGGTTCAAGGGAAAAACTAAACTATGAAAATTCAGCTAAGCACTTGGAACATTAGAATGTCCAAATCTATTCCCTAAAGCAATCTAAGTGCAAGATTACCTGTTGGTTGTGGTGAGGGTAAGTCGTATAGACTTTTAATGAATCCCTAACCTTTTAAAGGTGGAGTAATACAGGATACTCTTGACAGGGAGGTCACCTATATAAGTGTGAAGTGAGGGTCGCTTCAATTGTAAACACTTATGAATCAAAAGTGTTGTCCAAGGCCAAAACGGACACAACAATAGAACAAAATGGAGTTAAGGCTCTATTGTGTGAATGTCATTGTCTTGGTGTACACTATGGAGGAATAGTTCAAGGCACTATGTCCACTAAGCCGCCAGTACATCCGATGATGTTTACTAAGAAAGGTTCAAAGCCACAAGCTACCTTTTATGATTAAATAGAAACTTGTGAGGATTGACCACAAGAGTCTGTATACATGCACCAAGTGAGTTTAACTCCCACATTGGACTCTTAAATGAGTTTAACTCTCTTTATTATAATAAAGAGAGTTGGAGAGGTTACAACAAGCACAAAGCTATGCACCAAGTGTTGGTGTTGTTTTCGGCCACACGCGCGCGCGCGCGCCCGCCTCCTGGGCCTGGTCCTGGGACTTGGGACTTGGGCCTTGGGCCTTGGTTCTTGGCAATTGGACTTTGGGCTGGACTTGGGCGGCCTTGGGCGCTTGGGCCTTTTGCCCATCACTATATATCTTTTTGCTGCAAATTTATTTGCAATTTTAGGCCCAACTGGAAAATCCAATTTGGATTTGGACTCGGGTTTTGACCCAACCCGAGTGAGACCTCTCCAGGTACAACGAACCTGGACACCTGATTCTTCATGTGAAGTAACAGCTCAGGATAATGGGGTTAATGGTGTTAACTCCTCCTAGTTAATGGTGTTTTAACACCTGAAACATTTTGAGAATAATGGTGCCATTTATCTCAGCCTTAAGTGGCTGGTGTAACCCTTGGTTCTCCCTCAGAGGTGAAAGTCCTATAAATAGGACATTGAGTTGCAGAGAAGATACACAACATTTCATGCACTCTGATTATTCTCAAAACCTCACGCATCATATCATACTGCTCTGTTCTCGACTTCATTCCAGTTCGTTGGAGCTCGAATTCTGGTGTGCTACAGCGTTCGAGACGTAAGCCGTTGTATCTTTGGGGACGAGACGCCTGAACCCGTCAGC